TCTGGCAAAGCCTTGGAGTGGGGCCCAGGGCGCGGGCACACACAAGCTTTTAAGTGGTGTTAAAGTCAGTGTCTGGCATCGCACTGCGTAAGCACCTCAGAGGGGCTCAATTCAAAATTTGGAGACCTCGACGTGATAAATTCTATGAAAGCCATTAGGTTCCCTAGGCTTTGCATTTGGATTCCTGATAGAAACCATGCTTTCCCTTGGAGATTTTTACACACACACATACACACACACCCTTATGTTATACACGTTATATTACATAAGGAAGGGTATACTTGAGATTAGGAATTCATTCCTTCCAGCTTTTCTTCCACAAACATTCAAATCTGAATCACTTGTAAGAAATCTTCAAAGCACTCCTAAAAAGTAGCAGGAGGCTTTCAAAGAGATGACTCTCACAGGACAGTTGGCATTTTGTAAGAGCAGTCAACACCCAGCAAGGACAGAAAGTTATTTCCTCGCCGACCTTTTCAGGAAGAAATCGGTGACCTTCGCTTCGTGGAGTCTGAGCCCCTATACTTAAGCACCATGTAAGAAGCCAAGTGCGGCATCGAACATTCCGGTATTCATTAAATCAAACGTCAAATACCAGCTTTGGAAGGTTTATACCACCCTCTAGGCTCAATGGTGTTGTACAGTGAACTGTCTTAGAACTTAAGGGGAAAAAAAGTAAAGCATTATTTTTAGTATAAACAAATGCTTCAAATGTATGACATCTATTTGCTGCCTTCAAAGGGAAAACTTTTAACTCAGACGCTTGGCACTAAGATCACACAGGATCAACCTAGTGGACTGACTTAAGTGTTAAACTTTTTTTAAAGTGCATTTTTAAGGGCTTGCACCTGCTCCCCCATCCACATAGATGTACTGACACGTATTTGACTAAACTGACTATATACATGCCCAAGCAAGCAAGCAGAGCAGATTTTACAAGATAAGCAACCAAGTGTTTTCATGTCTGAGGGTGGCTAGAACACAAAATTGCCAGTCATCTTGTGGGGGAAAAGAATGCCTTTGAAAAAAACATGTAGGGCATCATTGTAGATATGGGGCATGTATTCAGATGCCATCCTGTTTAGTTTCGTATTTTTTTTTTCCATTTAAGTGTTTTTATTTTTTTAGAAAGGTTTTTTTCTTTTTTTTTTTTTTTTTTCTATAGGGTACATGCGCTCACCAGATGAGGGGAGAGCAAGCGAGTGAGAGAGAGAGAGCAAGAAATCACCCCCTAGAGGAGATGACAGCATTGCAATTTCTTCTCCTCCATTCTCCTCTCGGAACTTTGGGCACTCATGCATACACACCCGGTGTGAATTTTAAGCCACCTGGTTCAGGACTCTAATTGTGGTCGGCCATGTGGTAGTCCAGCTACGTAACCATTATGCCATCTGCTGGTCTCAAGTGCTGTTTCTTAGAGAAGCAGCAAACTTCAGTTATGATTGAGAAGATATTCACTTGAAGCTCACTACTCAAACTGTGGTCCTCTGGCTTGTGATAAGGCCATGACCTGAAAGCTTTGTATGAATTCAGGCTCTCAGGCCCCACCCCATACCTACTGCAACAGTCTATTACACAGCAGGATTGCAGAGGGATACAAGTTTCCTTCTCCTTGAGGTGTTACTGTGATTCAGATGCAGATTTAAATCCAGGGAGTTTTATTTAGAACATTGCCCTCCCCACCACCACCACCACCAAGTTAGGTAGAAGCTCACTTTGAAGTTTGTAGGGCAGGAAAATGGTCAGAAAATTCTGCCCTGGAGAATACCCTAAGGCTGTAATTTATGTCAAGAGGGAAGAGGAAAGAGGAGAGGCAATTTACCTGAGTGAGGCCGACTTGCATTTTATCCTCCATCCTCCCCTACCTGTTCCCTGCAAAAAGTTCCAAGACATTCTTACTTTAGATTGCCAATCCATGTCACAATTACACTAGAATTTGATTCTTTTTTTTAAAGAGATTTTTGCTATCGGATGGGTGTATTTGCTAAAGAGACAGAAACAGAAAGACAGAAAGTGAGAAATTGTCACACACGCACACACACACCCCCCGCCCCCTGCATGGTATTACAATCCCTTCTCCTCCATTCTTCTCTCAGGATCTTGGGCATGCACACACACACACCCAGTGTGAATTTCAAGATGCCAGGTCTGGGACTTGAACTATAGTCAACCACATGGAAGTCCAACGCTTTAACCACTGTACCACCTGCTGGCCCCAAGGAATCTGATTATTCTTTGCTGCAAGGCTATACTCCTTGAACCTTCTAACAAAGTGGGAGGCAGTGACATATAAGAGTTCAGTGAACGGGTATCTTAACATTAATGTGACAGAATAGAAATATGCTACATATTTTTTTTTGAGAGATTTTCACTGTAGGGCGTGTGCGCTCACCAGATAGACAGAGAGAGACATAGAGACAGAAAGTGAGAAATCACCCTCCAGGGGGAATGGTCACGCTGCAATCCCTTCTCCTCCATTCTCCTCTCGGGATCTTGAGTACACACACACACGTGCCCGGCGTGAGTTTTAAGCCACCGGGCCCGGGCCCCGAACAGCCTTCAACTACGTGGGAGTCCAGCGACATAGCCATTACGCTAACTGCTGGTTCCCAGAAATATGCTATTTTTAAAAGAGTTTGAATTACAGAATGATTTACCAATTAAAAAAATGGAGGAAAAAAGCATGAACTGCTTAGGTTCTCTAGTGTTTATATAATTCGGTGTACAGGCCAGATTGAGAGATCATCTCTCCACTCTTGGCCTCTGGGGGTACAATTTAGAGACTTCAACAGAAACTATAAAAGGAAGAAAATACAGGCAGATTTATAAACCACTCTCCCATCCCAGTCCCAATTTTTGAAAGCAAAAAATGAACACATCAACCTGGATGTGCCAAACAAGTTAAGACCACGCCAGGGAGACACACGGGAAGGACCATCACACAAACAAGGTGACACAGATTAATCAATTCTGAAAGACGATCACCCCAAATTTAGATATGACATGTTTAATAAATAAATAAATAAAAACCCTAAAATGATTTGAAGGATCCTACAAAATAGTGACTGAAAATCAAGAAATTCAGTGTCCTGGAGTTAGGATTCTTTCTTCCTCAGAATGAAGGGCAGGAGACAAAATGTCAGTAAGAAGGAAGAATGAGTGTAAGAATCATGTTTCTCAAATGACCTGCCTAGAGGGCCAGAGGTTCCAACTAAACCAAAACCGATCATGCTGTCATCGATACGTGTATGTATTTAAATTATTGGGTCTTTAAGTATATGTATTAATTACATATCAAATATACTTACTGTAAGAGAACACATTTGAACTGATTCTATGGAAACAATTTTTTTTTCTTTAAGAGCGATTTTCACTATAGGATGCATGCACTCACTGGAGAGACAGAGAGACAGAAAGTGAGAAATCACCCCCTCAGGGGAGATAGCCACGTTGCAACCCCTTCTGCTCCATTCTCCTCTCAGGATCTTGGGCATGCCTGCATCTTGAACATGCACCCAGTATGAGTTTTAAGCCATCTGGTCTGGGACTCGAACTGTGGTCGATGACGTGGGAGTCCAGCGATGTAAACATTACACCATCTGCCGGTCCCCCATGAAAGCAATTTTGACGAAGAAAAGCATATTCAATGAAGCAGAGAAATCAAAAGGATGGACAGATCTGCCCAAGGATTAAATTCCTCAGTCACACTTTTAGACTCTCATCTAGAGACTGTGCAGATGGGAAAAGGTGGGTCCTTATTTTCTTAAGATGTGAAGACGGTACCATCTGTCCTTCATAGACACGGCAAGATGGAGTGAAGAAAGGCTGGAGGACAGAGGACCCTGGCCTCCATAGTTGGGCTTAATCCAGAGAGCCCTATTGTGTACAAGAACAGTAGGGAGAGGGATGAAGAAAGCTAACCAGTTCTAGTAAACGATCAGTACAGTATTGATTTAAAAGTAAGATCTACAGGGAACCAGCAGTTAGCGTAATAGCTATGTCGCTGGACTCCCACGTAGTCGACCGCGGTTCGTGTCCTGGACCCGGTGGCTTAAAACTCACGCCGGGCGCGTGTGCGTGAGTGCCCAAGATCCTGAGAGGAGAATGGAGGAGAAGGAATTGCGGTGTGACCATCCCCCCTGGAGGGTGATTTCTCGCTTTCTGTCTCTATGTCTCTCTCTGTCTGTCTGGCGAGCGCACGTGCCCTGTAGCAAAAATCTCTCTCAAAAAAAAAAAAAGTAAGATCTACATAACCTCACAGCTCCCAAAAGGAAACTATGTTTATGGTCATAGATAATTCCTGAGAAGAATTTGATTATGACAGTCTTTCCATTATAAATATACTTTTTAAAGCCAACCCAAGGCAGGGCCTAGAAAAGGAGATTAGAAATAGGTTTTGCCAATCATGACTGGATCAGAAAGGACACAATGGCCTGGAAATTGATCTGAAGTACTGCCAGTAAAATAGGAAAGAATTGGAGGTTCCCTGGCCTTACGCATATATCCACTGAATCCTTTCCCAGGTCTGATTCTAACCCAGAGCACAGAAGCCGTGCCCCTGGTTAAGTGTTCACTCTGAGCGGTCTAATTTGACTTCATTCTTTTTGGGCTTCTGTCCAATTGGCAGATGTTCTTGTAGAAGCTGATCTCAGACACTTTCCCTTTCTAATTTTTTGGCACTGTTGCCTCGGCTGCATGGGATATCATCTCTGCAACTTTATCATGGGTTCCCCTGGTTTTGCCTGTTTTGTAAGCTTTAGTTTTCCCTTACATATTTCTGCCTTGAAAAGGTTCTTAGGAAAACTATGAAATCACTGGTAACTGCTTCGGTCTAAATATGACTTCTCAAATGACTTGCTTGCAAATTTCCAACCAAGCTTTATCTTTTCCCCACCCCTCACGGAAATGAGTAACTTCAGAAACAAAAATGCAAGCACGAGGTAATCACTGTGTATGCTGCACAAATGCTCCATTTTCTCTTACAGTTCAACTTCATAGAATGAAATGTCAGAGCTTTGATATTTATTATCTGAAATAGGTTTAACATTTGGAGAGATGTGTTCAAACACATAACCTTGGAAAGAAAAGCAAGCTGATCGGTCAGAGAACAAGGGGGAGGCAGAAAACACGAGAGGCACAATTTTGCTGTGTGTTAGACAACATTAGAAAATTGGGTCCTTCAGAACATAAAGAGATCCCAGATGAGGTAAAGGTAAAATACAAATGATTTCCAACTCTTAATGAGGGTCACAAGATATCCATTTTAAATATACATGACTACAATAGCAATAAGGAAAAAACATCTTAGGTTTTATTTAATACTTTGGCCAGATCAGCCCCTTTGAAGGGATCACTAGTTTAGGAAAGACTAACAAACTATCGTTCACTTTCCTGTAGGTTCATCATTTTCCTGATTCTTTCTATTGGTCCTGCTTTATTTTTCTGCAAATTAAAGTGTGGGGGAAGGGTTTCTATAATAGATCAGCTATGTCTGTTTCTTATCCAAATATTCCACCTAATAAGGACGTAAGTTCTCATGGATTGGACAACCACTCTGCAACATTCCTGAGAATTGAATAATATAAGAATCTTGAAAGTCAGCAGAGTGGATTATCCATTTTTTTTTTCTGGACTTGAACTTGTGAACTTAACAGTAGCACTGCAAAAAAAGCAAATGTGCTAAGCACTTTGCCAGAGTAACCTTCCATGTAGATTTTCATTTTAAATACACACAACTGAAAACAACTACAATTTTTTTGAAAATTATGTACAAACCCGATACTTCTTTTGATTACATATAAATACAAATTAGCTATTTTTCTTAAAAAGTGGTTATAATAGTAAATAAATACAAAATAAATCTGACCATTATACTTCATGTGCTGGGGTTGAACCCATATAAAATGTACAACTAAATACACTTTAAATCTTTAAGGAATAATTCTCTGATTAAAATATTTGTTTTCCCAACTTCTTTTTGTAGATATAAATATATTTTCAAAATAGCTGTGTTTTTTTTTTTCAATTCCATTCCATAAATAAAGTCTTCATTGGGAAATATTAAAGTGTCAGCTGGTTTTGTATTGTTTTGTTTTTTTTGTTGTTTTTTTTTGTTTTTGTTTTTTCTAAAATATATATATATATATTTATTTATTTATTCTTTTACTTCTCCTGTGCTAACGACACCCACAACCCTCCACAACCATGTCCTGATAGTTCTTTAATACCACCTTTTCATTTTCATCAAGGTACAGCATGGAGATAGGGCTGAGTTCTGTTGGGACACAGCACGCCTTAGGAATCTTAGAATTCACAGAGTTGACCAACGTCTGAACAATGGCGTGATTAGTGGAGTTCAGGTGATCAGCCAGGGGAAAAGGGCATTCCCCATGGCAGTAAAAAGCATGATACCCTGGAGGGGCCACAATCCAGTCATTCCACCCCACGTCACTGAAGTCCACATACAAAGGGTGTCTCTTACAGCTGGACTTGAGGCGTTTCCGCTGTTTGTGTTTTGCTTGGCGCTTTTCTCTTTTGTGGAGCGGATGCCCTTTTCCATCATGGCCAAAAGTTACTAGCAATGGCCTGATCTGTGACCAGCTGTGTTCATCTTGATGCAAAGACCTGCTAATCCGGACGTGTCTTTTGGAGACACCCTGCTTCTCTTCCAAATGAGCCACTTCCACCACGAATCCATGGTTGGCGTTACCCTGTGTGGTCCACCGCATCACAGCAGGGGTGACGTCGAAACTTTCCCACTTGCTTGTGTTCTGATTCACTAACCTGGTGTCCAAAAGTCTGGTCACGGGGAATTTCGAGTTGGTGGTTGCAGGCTTTATAATTTCATAAATATTAATGCGGTGATTAAAACTGCTATTGTTTCCCAAAGCATCCTGCATCTGTTCCCGAAAAACCTGAAGTTCCGCTGAGGTGATAAACTCCTCGGTGGGGATCGAACTTAAATTAAAGAAGAATCGTCGTGTTGTTTTTCCACTTGTTTCTGGCAGTTCTTCCAAAGATTCTAATTCAACATAGAAAAGCGAGAACAAAAAAAGAAGAAAGATCATTCAATACAGAAGTAACGACAATTTGATTATCATTGAAGGTTTTTAAACTTCGCTTCAAGGTTTGATTTAACCTATGTAAAAGTATGTAACCAGAAAACAAAAGTTTTCTCTTTCAATACAAAAGAAGTCTTGCTTCTTTCTTTTCTGCAAGTTCACGTCAACATGCAATAAAGCACATTGTGATGTTTTTGATCCAACACACGAACAGAACTTTCAGGTGGCTATAATAATGGGGGAGATAGTGAATCATTTCCTTGGAATTCACAGACTTTAGGGCAAAAAACAAAAGAAGTCAGCACTATAGTTAGTAGAGGTCTAATGAGTGAGGATTTGAGGAAATTATTGCATTTCTTGAAAAAAAAAAGGCTTTAATGTCAATCCCTTAAACGGTACTCTAAAACATTACTCTGCAATTTAGATGATTTACAAATCTCGATATACAGATTTCAGCTTCCTAATTAAAGACTTTGAAAGTCAACATCAACGATGACATTTTGCAAAGCACACCCTACTATTTTACTCAAAAGTCCAGAGACAAAAGCTTTTACAGGGATCTACTTTGGAAACATATGGGTGGTAGTAGGACTCTGTAGTAATTAAGGCTAAACAATTTCAAGAGAAATAGCTTCCCAGCTGTCGTCTGTTACCTCACCTTCTTATGACCTCAGACATCAAAATCTCATTTTAAATGCTTTGGAAAAAAAAATTACTTTATCTTCTGTTTCTAATTCCTTTATGTTTTAAAAAAATAAACCATATTAACAACATATGCCTACCCAAAAATAGGCTGGAGAACTGATAACCAAAAAAAAAAAAATTCATAAAAATTTGCAATAGTGTTATGGTATTTGTTGTAAGAAACGATATCATCCTATTACAGAATCATCCCTCTATATATATTGCCATATCTCAAAACAGCCATTTAAATGGGTGCATGCGTAAGAACTTGGTCTGCCTTAAGACTCATGAATTTCCATTTTTTTGAGTAAACAATAAATATAATGAAGTACTATGAATGACCAGTCTGCGAATCACCAAAGGTACAACATTACTATTAGATGATAGTAAATAGCACTAGATGTTGAGATATTTGTGTGTATTTCCTTTTAGTTTTACTACATACTCTCATTTCTTTGTCAAAAAAGTTCCTCTGCTTCATTTAGGATCTCAATCCCAGTGTTAACAAAATCTACTTTATCATAGTTCCATGTTGTCGCCATCAGAGGAGACATTATTGTTAGTAATTTGTGGATGGGATACCCCTACAGACAAAGAGCTGTAAGCTTCCACAGAATGAGATGCCTTAGCAAAGGAGCATCATGTCAGATCACTTCCTTAAAGGATCTACCTGTGCAAACCCTCCTCATCAAAGCAACTGCCATCACTACATGCTAAGCAGAAGTGTCAAGTCCAACAGGGGCAATTTATTCCAGTTATGCAGTCATGCTTTAATGCGGTGCTTCACCAAGTCTAACCTTCACAGGAAACAAGTAGAACATCTTCCATCTTCCAATGCAGACTCTGAATCAGTTGGTTCAAGGGGCCTCGGAGTCTGCATTTCTAGAAAGCTCCTAAGCTGAGAGGATGCTGTGTGAGCTATACCTTAAATGCCCAGAATGTTTCTCACATTCAACTGTACATTTCCAGAGGAGTATATTTTTAAAGTTTATTTATTTGTTTCTTCAGAGAGAGAGAAAGAGAGAAAACCTCCAACAAGGCCCTCATGCTGCAATCCATCCCTAATGTACCTGGCATGTACAGGGAGACCTAGGGATGGGAACCCAGGACCTTCCTATGTGGGTTTACATCATGAAGTGTTGTATTTCCACATTTCTGTATTTCCACTGTAGCTGGCCGCAGAGGAGCACATTTTCAACATGCCTGTTTGATGAAAAATTGAGTAGAAGATCCATCTCTTTTGGCCACAGAGTAAGATTAAGGTCAGTGTTGGGCCAGCTAGGGCCTCAGAAAAGTACATCTACATGAACGTGGAGACTATCAGGCCAAGAAGGGAGATCTTTGCGGTCCCCTCATACCCATTAATCCAAACCTCTTATGAAATTTGGACATTCTAAGCTCCACTGTAAGCTTATTGTACTTCGGGCCAGGCACAATCATTAAAATAACCCTCCCTCTCACCAATCTAACAGGGCTTTTTGTAGTGGCTCCCAACAAGTATCAAGGATTTATTGAGCTTCTTTTCCCTGCAATTCAGGGGCCCACTGATGTTTCCACTGAAAGCACTCTGTTGGCAGAGAAGGCAAAAACCAACCGCATTCCTGGGATCCCAATGACAACAAAGCCAGATGTGTACCTGAGCTACTGAAGTCTCTGATGCCAGCACCCCAAAGGATACCTTCTTGCTTTTAAGAGGAAGAAGGAAAGGCAAATTACCCAGGGCATTCACTGAATAGCTTTATTAATGAAAGAATCCAAAGGAATCACAATTGCAAGAAAAACCCTTAATTCTCACCCATAAATAGGAAGAAAAGGGACTATAAACACACAGAAACACACAGCCAGAGGACATGACACAGTAACAATTTCCAAGGTAAGCATGAGACAAATGAAATAAAGATGAGTATAAAGAGGCGGGAAATAGGATAAACCTTAATAAAAGGGAAGAAAAAAGATCAGATCATACCAAGTTTTTCTGACCAGAAATACAAAAACAAAGAAAATAAGCAATTTCATGTAGTTCAAAATCTCGAAAGAGGGGCCAGCAGTTAGAGTAATGACTATGTTGCAGGATTCCCATGTAGTCGACTGCGGTTTGAGTCCTGGACCCAGTGGTTTAAACTCATGCCGGGCGCATGTAGGGCATGCCCAAGATCCCAAGAGGGGAGAATGAAGGAGAAGGGATTGCGGTATAGCCATCCCCCCTGGAGGGGGGGGGTGATTTCCCACTTTCTGTCTCTCTGTCTTTCTGGTGAGCACACGCGCCCTATAGCAAAATCCTCTCCCCTCCAAAAAAAAAAATCTCAAAAGAGCCAATCCAGCCTCTGTGACCTCATCAGTACACCAGTAGTCTACTGAACTGCGATGCTGGAAGCCACATGATGGACCTTGGAGTCAGATCCCATCCCAGGCCTAGTGTCGACCTGAAACACACTGGGTTCTATTTTTTTAAGAGAGAGATTTTTGCTATAGGGTGCACACACTCGCTGGAGAGACAAAGAGAGACAGAAAGTGAAAAATCATCCCCCGGGGGAGGGGCGAGTAGCCATGCAGCAATCCCTTCTCTATTCTCTTCTCAGGATCTTGGGCACAGAAGTCCTTGCACCTGGTGTGACTTTTAAGCTATTGGGTCCAGGACTTGAACCGTGGTCGACTACACTGGAGTCCAGCGATGTAACCATTACGTCATCTGATGGTCCCCACACTGAGTTCTTGTAGAAGCTGTTCTCAGACATTTTCCCTTTCTAGTTTTTTGGCACACGTGTGTCCAATATACTAACAAATTAAAGGCCTAGGAGAGGGGAATCAGGGTGTGATCAGACCCTACTAAGAGTACTTCCTTCGCACTCCCTCTCTCTCTTCTCTCTGTCATGCATGTGCATGTGCTTTCTGTCATTAATAAAATAAACTTAAAAAAAAATCTCATTGGAGGTAAACAGCCTTAGCAAAAGAAAAAGATTTCCCTATTAAATAATAACAGGTAAAGTGAAGACCCTTCTCCAACTTTCCAACTGCTCCCTTGTCACCCTTGTAAGATCCTACCCTAACCCTAATCCACAGTCCTCTATAAGACACCCCTAACTGCAGACTCTGCTGGGCCCAGGGGTAGGTAAGTCAGAGAGTCACAGAAACCTTCAAATGCAGGGAAATGATTCCAAGGTTAGGACATGTACCCCCTTTGACTTTGATCTGCAAGGGAGGACTGGGAATCTTTTCCTGAGGGTAGAAAAGTCAAAACTGATGTTAAGTCAA